GAAAAAATTTGAACACTGGTAGTTATTAGGTTAATTCAAAAGTTCTTTTCTTTTTAGTGTCATGTGTTTTTTTAGCTCCATATCTCAATAAATATTTATTCTACTAAGTAGAATAAATTCATTATCTCATTCCGGAGATTTCAGCCTTGGAGATGAGCCCCGAAGTGGTCGAAGTACAGTAATCCAGAACAAGGATTTGAGGACCCTGGAGGAGACTGACCTGTCACAAACGGTTCGTAGAATAATGGAAGAACTGAGCGGCAGCTCCCATGCGGTTTTGATGGTTCAAAACGTATTGGAAAGGTCAAAAAGATCCAAAAGCGGGTGCCACACGATTTGAACGATCGACAGAAATTGTCATGCTTCAAACCAAAAAGATCCTTTTTTGGATTGAATCATTACGTATGATGAAGAGTGGATCTTCTTCAACAACAGGGGACATTCAAAACAGTGGTTAAACACCGATAAGCCACCCAGGCCGTCGTCGACTTCATCAAATCCTGAGCACAAAATTTTTACTCGTGTTGCGTTGGCAAAAGTACACTGACTCAAATGGCGCTTATTTCGATTAAATTGAAGAAGTATTCACTGAGATATTACAGTTTGAAGTAGACCAATGAAAACTTACGAAACTTTCTAAACAACCAGGTTTACATTACAGTTCAGGTTTACATTCCTCCAATTAATAAGGTTTTGGTTGTACATTAGATCTCATGGTGCATAACATTCAGAAAACAAGTGAGTGATTAGAAGTCAGTGAGAAAGGTTGGGATTAACTGAAATTCAAATGTAAACATAAAATTACCAATCTTACCAGGTGATTGCCAAAACTGTTTTTCGCAGGTTTTTCCACAACTCCTAATCTAGTGGGTTCTGAATTCCACATGGTTTTCTCCACGGGCCACGTACCATGGTATAATGACAACATACCGCGATTTCGATTTGATACAGGTTCACTACTAACAGATAGCTTAGTGCTACTGCGAGTGGCTCCACCATATTCATCTTCGCTGCAAGTTGTGTCTCCCTCCACACTGCTGGCAACTCCGTGGTCATACTACAACATAAAATAATTGATTTCGGTGAGTTATGGAGATTTTAACTTCATTTACAAATTACCCACAATTATATGTAAATCGCAGAAAAGAAATAAAATATAGTAAGGACAAAAGCACTACAGGAAAATCCTTAAGGCGCTCTTAGAGCGGTGCCTGTGCGAAAATAGTGATTCACATTGGATTTGAATCGCTGAAGATTAAATGCATTTAGAAAAACGTTCGCAGGAAGTTTATTCCACATAAACGCCGATCTCCAAATAAAAGAGTTCTTGAACAGTGAAGTTCGAGGTGTACTAAGTTGAACCTCAAAACGATGAGCAGCCACAGTCCGTCGCGTATTTCTGACATGTACCGCTCTTGGTGGAATCAAATGTGCCAAGTCACTTAAACACTTCCCGTGAAAGTATCTACTTATATCCAACCTTTCTTCGATGTTCCAGGCTATCAAGGTTGCACGTGATATTCGCGTCTTCAATCAGGCGGATGGCTCTTTTCTGGACGGAATCCAGCAACTTCAGGGTATGTTTGGGGGCATGATAACAATACTCCAAATAAAGTCTGATCTGAGCTTTGTAAAGCATCAAAAGTTGCTGAGGTGTGAACAGTTTTCTGGTTCGGAACAGTGTTCCAAGCTTTTGAAAAGCAGCCTTTGCAATTCCAACGACATGATTGTGCCAAGACATATTGGTGTCCATTTCAACTCCCAACAAACTTATCGAAGCATTTATCTTCATGGAGAAAACCGATGCCTGGGTTTTTGTGGCATTGAATTGAACCTGGTTACTTTCACCCCAATTCGAAATTACTTCTAGATCCTCATTAAGATATTCAACAATATGGATCCCTGGGGAACACCAGCGTTGATGGTGAAAGTATTCGAGGGATATACATCGACAGCCACTTGCAGGGAACGTTCTTTCAGGAAGTTGAAGAGCCATACACAAAAATGATCCGATAAGCCATAGCATCGAAGTTTGGCCAGCAAACCCTCATGCCACACGTGGTCGAATGCCTTAGAAATATCAAGCGTAACAGCTCTTGACTCCATGTTTCTCGATTGCGTTATTCCAAATATGGGTGACATACGATAGACGGTCGTCTGTTGATCTTTGTTTCCGAAAGCCATATTGATGATCGCTCATGATGTTGAAGCCTTCAAAATATTTGAGGATATGGTGGTTTACAGCTTTCTCCATGATTTTTTTTATATCACTGATAGCAAAGCGACTGGTCTATAGTCATTTGAAAAATTTTCTTGTCCTTTTTGGGAATAGGAGAAACCCCAGGTTGAAAAGTCTGCAAAATACTGGTGCGAGTTCATTTGCGATAACGATAACGGGCACTTCATCAGGACCAGACGCCTTGCTAATATTGAGCTGTTCCAAAATTCGCCTGACTAGACGCTGGCGAAAAGCAATTTCCGGCATTGTGGATTCTAGTGTGAGAATAGTAGGTGGTGCCTTTCCCAGAAAATCGACTGTGGAGTGGGACGCAAATTGTTCATTTAGTAGATTTGCTTTTTCTATGGATGTTGTTGCAATTGAACCATCCGCATGTGAAGATCGGTGCCTGTGCGAAAATAGTGATTCACATTGGATTTGAATCGCTGAAGATTAAATGCATTTAGAAAAACGTTTTCAGGAAGTTTATTCCACATAAACGCCGATCTCCAAATAAAAGAGTTCTTGAACAGTGAAGTTCGAGGTGTACTAAGTTGAACCTCAAAACGATGAGCAGCCACAGTCCGTCGGGTATTTCTGACATGTACCGCTCTTGGTGGAATCAAATGTGCCAAGTTCCTTGAACACTTCCCGTGAAAGTATCTATGCACGTGATATTCGCGTCTCCAATCAGGCGGATGGCTCTTTCCTGGATGGAATCCAGCAACTTCAGGGTATGTTTGGGGACATGAGAACAATACTTCAAAGAAAGTCTGATCTGAGCTTTGTAAAGCATCAAAATTTGCTGAGATGTGAACAGTTTTCTGGTTCAGAACAGTGTTCCAAGCTTTTGAGAAGCAGCCTTTGCAATTCCAACGACATGATTGTGCCAAGACATATTGGTGTCCATTTTAACTCCCAACAAACTTATCGAAGCATTTATCTTCATGGAGAAAACCGATGCCAGGGTTTTTGTGGCATTGAATTGAACTGGGTTACTTTCACCCCAATTCGAAATTACTTCTAGATCCTCATTAAGATATTCAACCTCCTGCTGCCGGTGAAAATGTGCTTCCGCAGCCGATGTCCTAGGATCCAAATGTAAAAGCAATATATTGGATTCTGTTTTTTTTTTCCAATAAGTCGTTGATATACAATAAAAAGGGGGCTGGAGACAATATGGATCCCTGGGGAACACCAGCGTTGATGGTGAAAGTATTCAAGGGATATCCATCGAGGGTCAATTGCAGGGAACGTTCTTTCAGGAAGTTGAAGAGCCAAACACAAAAATGATCCGATAAGCCATAGCATCGAAGTTTGGCCAGCAAACCCTCATGCCACACGTGGTCGAATGCCTTAGAAATATCAAGTGTAACAGCTCTTGACTCCATGTTTCTCGATTGCGTTATACCAAATATGGGTGACATACGATAGACGGTCGTCTGTTGATCTTTGTTTCCGAAAGCCATATTGATGATCGCTCATGATGTTCAAGCCTTCAAAATATTTGAGGATATGGTGGTTTACAGCTTTCTCCATGATTTTTTTTTTATATCACTGATAGCAAAGCGACTGGTCTATAGTCATACAGGTTGAAAAGTCTGCAAAATACTGGTGCGAGTTCATTTGCGATAACGATAACGGGCACTTCATCAGGACCAGACGCCTTGCTAATATTGAGCTGTTCCAAAATTCGCCTGACTAGACGCTGGCGAAAAGCAATTTCCGGCATTGTGGATTCTAGTGTGAGAATAGTAGGTGGTGCCTTTCCCAGAAAATCGACTGTGGAGTGGGACGCAAATTGTTCATTTAGTAGATTTGCTTTTTCTATGGATGTTGTTGCAATTGAACCATCCGCATGTGTCAGTGGTGGAATTGTGGGTTTTGTAAAGTTCTGATTAACAGCTTTAACTACCGACCAGAAGGATCTAGACCCGTTGGGACTGGCAAGCAGTTTATCCCTAATTCTCTGATTGTGAAGTTCTTTGCTCTCATTTATCCTAAGTTTGCAGCTGTTGCGAGCATTAATAAACCTGGTTCGGTTTTCGGCACTGGGATTTTTGCGCCACTGCCGGTAGGCGAGATTTTTGGAGGCGACAGTTTGCTCTCAATTTCTGTTGAACCAAGGTTTGCCACTAGAAGGTCGTTTCATTGAAAAAGGAATAGACGCATCCATGGCTGATAGAATAACTTCCGTGACTTCAGAAGAACAATTTGATGGATCTTTAAAGCTGAAACAAACATCTAGCCAGGGGAAATTTCGGAAATGGTCTTGAAGATCCTCCCATTCAGCTGATCTGTAATGCCAAACTTTGCGCGGCTTACATTGCTCCCCAACAATTATCGGTAATTCACTCAACACTGAAATGAGTTTGTGGTCAGAAGATCCCAATGGAGACCTTACGGTGACTGTGTAAATTTCTGGATTGGTTGTTAGGTATAGATCCAGAAGACTAGCATATTCTCCATCACAGTCAGGAATCCTGGTTGGCTTATATACAATATGAGTAAGTTCGCTGCTTATTGCAAAAATCTCAGCTTCACGACCTTGTTGGTCGTTGATATTTGAAAATTTGAGCCATTCTATATTGTAGACGTTGAACTCATCGAATATGAAAATTCGGCACTGGAATGATTGATTTGCAGAAAGTCAACGGTGTTTGCAAGTGAAGAGAATAGTTTCCTATATTGTGCATCGTTAGGGGGTCGATAAACGCAACATATGAATTTGATGAGATCTTCTGTGATATTATTCGGGGTTCCAGCATTTCCTCTCGTTGACAGAAGAAATCGCTTCTGATGAAAAGAGATATTCCACAGTTAAGTCTGAATCGGGAGTGGAAATCACAGCCGGGATACAGAAAATTGACGGGGTTTGTTGAAGCACTCACATTGGTTTCTGTGAATGCAAGAATATGAGTACTATTTGATTGCAGATGTTGGTCACTGAGTTAATATTTGAGTTGAGTCCTCTGATGTTGCAGAAATCGATTTTGAATTTACTAGTGGACCTCTTACCAACCGCAGTTACCAAGCTATTTTTCTGTGGACTGATGTTAGTAAGACCCCCCTGACTGTCAAAAATAGTGGTTTTCGAATAACTTCTGCAGGATTCGATTCGATTGGGGAGCTATTTCAACTCCGGAATATTTTGACCCTAGAAGCGCCATCATGCATTTTTCCTTATATTGCCACCCTTTAAACCAGAAACAGCGGCACGGCAACGAAACGTTAGCCCGAAAGCAACATCACGCTGCATAAGCCGTTGCGATGGTATCTCACTGGACGATGCTGGGTAGGACCAGCATCTACCATCTACATAAAATACATACATAAATACATTAATTTTAGATTTTAAACAGATTTAAACAGATTAATGAAATCATATACAGGGTCCTGCAACAGGCGCGGTGTTTCATATCTCCATTTAGGAAACAGAAATCTAAATTTCTATAATATTACCTTATTACTCGAGCTCGACAAAATAAAAATATTGGCGGTCACACAGGGTGTTCAATTTTTTTCTGGGCGGATCCCAACTGTGTTTTTTCAAACGGCAACCTATATTTTTTATCATTTTTTCGGTTTCTACATAGAAAATGAAACATGAAGTGTTTATATATCTTCACTTCGAAAATATTGACGGTTGTCGAGATATCTAGCATGTCA